TCTCTCTCTCTCTCTCTCTCTCTCTGAGCAGCAGCGAGATTGAGGAGCCTGCTCCCGCACGGAAGCGGGCACAACCGCCTAAGCCCAAAGCGCGCGAGGTCCGCTGCAGGCAGGTAGAGGAGAAGTAGCACAAGGAGGCGCGACACAGCTTGAGGGTTCACAGGCAGGCAAAGTTCCAGTTCTTCAGCCCTGACAATGTTCCGGCCGGTGCCGCCATTGCTCTCATCAATGCTGTTGAGCCGAGCGACATCGATGACACCCAGTTTGAGATCCTCAGTGTTCCGCAGACAACTCTCGTGACAAAGAAGATCTACTCTGCTCAGTGGGAAGAAGGGATGAAGGAAGAGTGGACCGGCTACCAGCAGCAGGATGTCGTTGGCAATCTTGCACGAGCCTGGCATGAAGGTTCTCGGGACAACGCATTGGCACCATACTGCTTGCAATGACCCTAAGGCCAAGACGGCGCAGCTCAAGTCAATGCTTGTTGTCCAGGGCGTCAAGTCAATTCCCTTCCTCAGCTCTTTCGGCCCGACCTTCACCCCTCTTCCTTGCTGGGGCGTTGTTTCCCTCTTCTTTGTTCTCGCAACGCCTCTCAAGCTTCCCGTCCCCTGACTGACTTTGCCAAGGCCTATCTCAGTGCCCAGGTCGCGACGGCAGGCGACACCGTCTTTGTCAAACAGCCGCGCGGCTTCGAAGTTCCGGGTCACGAAGACTACGTCTACGAGCTTAAGCGCGCGGCTTATGGTCTCCTGCAGTTGGGACGTGCCTTTCACCTCAAAGTGAAGGACAAGCTTGACCAGCTCGACTTCGTCTCGCTCTCCGACGGCGTTGCCCTTTACATTGGGCGCCGCGGCGGCGACTACGTCGTCCTCGTCATCTACGTCGATGACGGGCTCATTGCTGGCAAGAAGGCACTCGTCGAGGACGTCGTCGGCGAGTTGCAGGAAGACTTCGACGTCACCTTCGGCGGACCCGTCGATGGCAAGTCCTTCCTTGGTCACGACATGAAGCACGACCCCCAGACGGGTTCTGTGCGTGTTTCCATCAAGTCGCAGATCGAGAAGGCACTCAAGATGCACGGCTTCAAGAACCTCAAGCCGTTGCACATGCCGATCCAGCCTGGTATCGTCTATGTCAAGTGGGATGGAGAAGCCATCAAGCCGAGCGAGTATCTTTCCGCCGTCGGCTCGCTTCTCTTCATTGCCATCACTCGCGTCGATATCCAGTCGTTGTCGGCGTCGTGAGTTGCTGCTCGTCGAAACCAGGGCCCAAGCACTGGGAGCTTGTCAAGCGCATCTTTGCATACCTCTCCTCCACCCGCAACGTCACACTTGAGCTGGGCCTGAGCCGCTCTGACAGCTCGGGACTTGTTGCCCTTGTCTACGCGGATTTGCAGTGACATCGAGACTCACTGCAGCACCACTGGTGTCGTCGGCAGCTCGTCAGGATGGCCATTCTTACAATTTTGCGGTTTCGCCAGTCCTTGGTCCAACTGTTGATGTTCCAGGCTAAGCTCAACGCGATTGTGGTCACCCTTGGCAAACTTGGATGGATCTTGTCTGTCATCTCCTCCCTCCCCATTGGCAACACTACTCCTCTTCACCTACTCAACGGCAACCTCTCAGCTTCACGGTCACCATGGGCTTAGCCCCGTTCTGACTTGAAACAAGGACTCCTCTCCCTCTCTCTTTTGTATGAAGGCGCACCCGGCGTGTTGTGTCTGCAAGGTTGGCACAGAGCTTGAGGCCTGAGGGTGGCTGGCTGGTGTTTGGGGAGAGTGTTGAGGGGGAGTTGAGTGATGGAAGATTAGTTGGCGATGTTGACATGGGTCCTTCAGGCCTGGACGGCTTCACACTCAGGAATCTATCCTCAGTTGTTTGCGAAAGAGCTGTGTTCGATAGTCTCTCATTGTTTCCACTCGTCGTATGCACCAGCTTCACCTCAAAGGATCCTTCGGACCTCTCTCTCTCTTCTTCCTCTCCATCGGAAGAGGGTATTGCTTAGCTTCAAAGATTACTCCCATGTTGAAATCCCTCACTGCAAGTGATTGATGTCACCTCATTGTATTCCCCACCTTAGCGTGGGCTCAGGGGAGTGTCTCCCGCTCGGCGCATGGTTCCCGTGTGTGCTTCACAACCCTCACATCGGGTTGTGAAGGTCACCCTCGCAACTCGATACTATTGAGTTAGTCAGCACCGGAGGCGTGTGCTTTGAGCTGTGAGGCGGGGTCTATGAGCTCCTGTCTGTCCTCCTGCCGCCGATCTTCAACGCCTCGAGAGCTTTGCGCGGCAGAACTTGCCAGTGCATCTAGGGTCAGCGCCCGCGTTCTCCTCAGTGCACAGAAAGGAGCGGCTGGAGCGAATGAGGGAGCAGGAGAAGGACTAGATCACTAGAGAGCTTAGGGACGGAGACGCCGGCTGCTCGTTGCGGGGTCAGGAGTTGCGAAAGCGGTCCAGACTCTGGAGCGTTGTGAAGCTCGCGCTGAGACCGTGCGCCGAGCGGGAGATACCCCCTTGGTGGGCTCCTTGTTGTGCCTCTACGACTCTCTTGATCTCTTCCCATGCCAGAATCCTCCTCCTTTAGCTTGTTGTGATGCATGTGGTCTGCCAGTGCCGTGTAGTAACTGTCTTCCGGCGCCAGAGTCAACCGCGCTTGCAACATAACGATTCGCAAGCAAAGGTCAGGAAATTGTCGGTGCTTGGAATTGGCGCCAACTGAAGGAGAAGCAAAGCTGCAATCTGTAGATGCACATAAGCACGCCCTTCTAGTGTATGGGGATATGGTGCAGTGGCAGCATGTACGCTTTGCATTACTTCGATGATTGCGTAAGGTCCGGGGTTCAAACCCCCGTGTCTCCATTAGCTTTTTGCACTTTTGGCCGTTGTCTCCAACATCTCCCTTTTGCTGCCAGCCGGGCAACAACTTCCCTTTTGCTGTTTCCTGTCGGTGCGCACTCAGCCGGAGAAGCCGGTTGCGAGCTCCTGTGGCCTCGCACGCAGGTGTGTGTCCTATACCTTCACAAGAAACCGCTGCCGAAAGACAACGCAAATGGCACGCACAAGACCGCAGATGCGTGAGATCGAGAATCAATTGACAACAAAAAGCCAGAACAGAAAGACAACTACATAGTCGAGGGTTGCTGGCAGCACACTGAGCACAGAGGTGAAACCGGCTCAAAGAAGGACCTATCGTGCAAGAACAGATGTCAGGTTTGTCCCCACGCCTGATGAGTAAGAGGCATAGATCAAGTGGTACGCACCGCCAGGAGGACGATTGTCAGGACCAGTAGGAAGACGAGCAGGAGGCAGAACATGCGTCGACCAGCCTTGCGTTGATATGCGTGCGCCTGCGTGAGCTGATCGGAAGCGCCACGTGTGTCGCGCGCGACGGATATGACGTTGGTCTCGATGTTGTCTGTAGAGGATGATTCAAAGCGTGGCGAGGAGCAGGAGAGAGATCGAGGTTAGGGTGAGCGAGCCGAACGACACTCCCGGACTGCCTCGTCCCAGCGTGACTTTGCGGAGCACCAAATCGAAAGAATGACGCACCGATCATGCTCTGCTGCTCGCCGACAATCTGACCCAGATCCTTGAAGATCTGGTTCAGCTCCGTGATGCCCTGCTCGATCTGCGCAATCTCGCCTTCGCGCTCCTGGATGAGCTGCTCCTGGAAGTCGACGTCTGCGTCGCTGATCTGCTGCTGCGTTTCTTGCCTGCGCGAACTAGAAGGTTAGGGCGGAGGAATGGTGATTTGAGGGAGACGGCACGGACAGCTCAAGTAGCTGACCGGATGCAGCGGCCTCATCCTGACTGTGGGAAGAACCGAGCAGGGTGGGATTAGCACAGAAAGGGATTTGACTGTCACGTGCGAAATGTGTCCGCACGAAGCTGCTCGTTCTTCCGCCTCGTCGACGTTCGCCTTCGCTCGCTCGACGAAAAGCCTCTGGCGCTCGGCACTTCGTCGCGACACCGACTGGAACATCTCAAGTGCACGCTGGAAGTCTGCCGCCACTTTCTGCTGCTCCTGCCGGTGATTCCGCTGCGTACAGACCCGAAGCGCAGTGTCAGCTGAACCTTGCCGCACAGTACGTGACTGTCTAGCTGGCGCTGGCAGAATGCAGGCGTGTCGAGGTAGGGGCGACGCACATCAGAAGGAGACAGCTTCCACTCGTTCAGCCGCTTGACACCTCCAGTCGACCCTTTCAGCACCTCGCGCGTCGATTCGGTCAAGTCATGCCTGAGCGCAAGCTCGGTCAGCACTCCAGATCCGACGTCCAACTCGATGTCGGGTACTCACAGGCGGTTGCGCAGGGTAGAATTGTCCTTGCTGCCTCCGAGGAGGTCGACGAACTTGGCGATGGCTGCCGTGTTGCCCGACACCTTCTGCACCTGCACCGAGATTGACCTGGCGAGCGCCTTAAACTGCAGGTCTTCGTCTGCGAGCACGCCAGCGAATGAGCCCTCTCGCGGTGACCGAGTCTGGCAAGAAGTGGGGGTGAGGAGACCGCTGGAGGGAGAAGCGCACCAGGGTTGATCGCCGTGTCGCGTGCAAGGGGCGCACGTTCTCCAAGGCCACGCTCAAGGTCCTGGAAGCTCTGCAGGCGGGGCGAGGCGAGCGGTGAGGGGGCGGTCGGGATGAAAGCGATGAAGGCGTGAGGGCGATACGGACCATTCTGAGGCGTTGGCGGTTGTCAACACAGAGTCGTAAGTGTAGCCAGCAGCTGTCAAGCACACGGACGCGCCCGGAGCTGGGTGGTCGCGACAAGTCTGAGCGAGACGGCGACTGTCTCGCTCCGCCACGACTGTGCGACCTGCCACACCCGCTCACAGCCCGACGTGCGGCGAAAGGGCGAAGCTGGGACTCTGAGGGACCACTGCTACGCTTGCCAGGCTTGAACACGCTCAGCTCGCCGACGACACGTCCCTACCCGCCGCGATGGACCCGCGACAGTATGCGCACCCGCAGGGGCACGCTCCGCCATTGCAGGGCCAGCAGTACGCTCAGCAGGCCGCACACTATCCCCAGCACTCGCCGCAGGGCCTCGCACAGCCCGGTCATCAGCCTCCGTACCCTCCCCTCCCCGCCCACAACGCGCCGCCTCACCTCAACCCGAATCTCGCACCTCCCGGCCAGGACCCGCACGGCCGTTTCTCGCCGATGCACAGTCCAGCAGTGTCTCCCGGAGTGGACCACCTGAGCCAGGGGGTTGTGCAAATGGGGCTGCAACCCTCGCAAGCAACGACGCCGGTACATTGACCGCCTCTGCCAATTCTACCGTCTTGCTGATCGTGTTCCTCGACAGGGCGGCGAACCGATGCCATCGCCTGCGGTCGTGCCGGCTCGCGGCAAGCGCGCTGCGCGAGCGTACCATAACGAAGGCGCGAGTCCTGCCGCGCAGATGCAGCCGTCACCAGCCGAATTCCAGCAGACTGGCCAGCAACCGTCGTACTTCCCTCCCCAAGGGCAGCCGCAACATGCCGGTGCTGCTGTCGGCCACCAGCAGCAACCGCACTATCAGGAGGCGCCACCCCCGCATCTCGCGCGTGATCCTCGGACAGCTCCTCCCGCCTCCTATCACGACAGCAATGGTCCCGGAATCCCTCAGCCTCCGCACACGGCCGGTCAGCGCATCCCTGCGAAGCAACGCGTCCGCATCGACCCCGACCACATTCCGAGCCCTGTTGCCGTTCAGGAGGCCGACCAGCATTTGTACCGCATCGAACCGTACCTCACCTGCTCGCGCAATCCCGCTCCGCTCGCTACGACCGACTTTGTTGCCGTCGACCAAGGTTCGTCGCTCTACTCTGCAACATCCGTGACGAAGCTAACGATTTGCGCGACCAGGCAACTGCAATCCCCGCTTCATCCGCATGACGACTTACAACCTCCCTACTTCTGACGATCTCGCACTCGCATCGCAACTTCCCCTCGGTCTCATTGTCCAGCCGTTCGCCGCGCTCCGCCCCGAAGAAGGCTCGATACCCGTCGTCGACTTCGGCGAGTCTGGTCCGCCTCGCTGCGAACGCTGCAGGGGTTACATCAATCCATGGTGCACGTTCGTCGAGGGAGGGCAGAAATACATCTGCAACTTGTGCGGAGCATCGACTCAAGGTGAGCAACCTCTGCCACGGCGAGTGGGAGCGGATGGGCTGACGTGCTCGCGCCTTACAGTCGCGCCGGAATACTTCAGCCATCTCGACATGTCGCAGCGCCGTATGGACCTCGATCAGCGTCCAGAACTACGGCTCGGCTCGGTCGACTTCGTCGTCAATCGCGACTATTGGGTCCAGGACAACCCGAACCTCCCGGGCTCGCAGCCGCGCGAGCCGAAGCCGCTGCACCATGTCTTTGCGATCGACGTCAGCTACACAAGTGTCCAGTCCGGTCTCGTCAAGGAGATCTGCACTCATCTGAAGGAGTTGCTCTTTCTGCCCAAGGAGGGCGAGGTGGAGGAGAACGGCGTCTTTCCCCCTCGGAAAGGGCTGCCTGCCGGTGCAAAGGTCGCTATCATGACGTTCGACCGAACTGTCCAGTTCTACAACCTCAAGGTGCGCATCTTCCTCCCTCGTCCCTCTATCGGTGCTCACCTGCGCCCCGCATCCGCAGCCCGGCCTCGACCAGGCGCAGATGCTCGTCGTTCCCGACATCACCGACATGTTCCTCCCTCTCAACGACGGCTTCCTCGTCGACCCGCTCGAATCGCGACCCGCCATCGAGGGCTTGCTCGACAGCCTGCCCGGCTTGACCGCAGAAACGAGCATCGTCGAAGCCGCCATGACCGGCCCTCTGAAAGCTGCGATGCTCGCACTGAAGAGCATCGGCGGTCAGCTCAACATCTTCCAGACGTCCCTGCCAACCATCGGCCTCGGCGCGCTCAAACACCGCGAGGACAACAAGCTTTACGGCACCGACAAGGAGAAGACGCTTTTCGGCCCGCAGGACCCGTTCTACCGAATCGCGGCCGAGGAGTGCGTCGAGGCTGGCATCGGAATCAACCTCTTCCTCTTCCCCTCGCAGTACATCGACGCTGCTACTCTCGGTGCGCATTTGGCGACTCTTTTCCAACTGCTACGTGCTGCAAGACTGACGTGCGGTCCCTGCAGGCGCGCTCCCTGGCCTCACCGGCGGCGACCTTTTCTTCCACCCTCGCTTCAACCCGGTCCGCGACGGCCGAACACTGCGAGCGGAGCTCGGGCGAGTTCTGCAGCGCGAGACGGCCTACAGCGTGACCATGAGGATTCGATGCTCCAACGGTAGGTACCGGAAGGGTAGCCCCACTCGTTTCAAACCTGAGCTGACCCACCTCGAACCAAGGTCTTCGCGTTGCCGATCACTACGGCAACTTCTTCCAGCGCAACGTTACCGATCTCGAGTTTGGCACCATCGACGCGGACAAGGCGGTCGCGGCCAAGATCAAGCACGAGGGCAAGCTCGACGAGAAGGCGGACGCCCACTTCCAGTGTGCCGCTCTGTACACGTCTGCCGCTGGCGAACGACGGGTCCGAGTGCATAACCTCGCAGTACCCGTGTCGAGCTTGATCAGCGGCGTCTTCCGTGCGGCAGACATGGACACAACAATCACCTTCTTGACGAAAGAAGGCGCGTCACCTTCTTCCCCTCGCATGCGAGGGAATGCTCTGCTGACTCTGTTCTTCTTCGATCTCTCGCAGCGATCACGCACGCATCGTCGAAGACGCTCCGGCAGGTCCGCGAGCAGCTCACCGATACCTGCGTCAACTCGCTTCTCGCCTACCGCAAGCATTGCGCGTCCTCCACGTCTCCCGCCCAGCTCATCCTCCCCGAATCCTTCAAGCTTTTCCCGCTCTATTCGCTCGCTGTGATCAAGACGAAGGCGTTGAAGGGTGAGCAACGCTCGGCTTGCCCGCGCCGCTCCTCGCCGCTGACCTCTTATCTCTGTAGGTGGAACGGTCGCCTCGGATGTTCGAACCTGGGCCATGCGACAGCTGAAGGCGATGGGCGCCCCCGCGACGGTCCGCATACTGTACCCTCGCATGATGGCGATCCACCTCTTTTCGGACGATATCGGCTTCCCCGACGAGCGTGGGCAGCTCGTATTACCGCCGTTGATGCGCACGAGCTACTCGCGCATGGAGCCGCACGGCGCGTACCTCGTCGAGAACGGCGAGCGGGCGATTCTCTGGCTAGGACAAGCCGTCTCGCCCCAGCTTCTGCAAGACTTGTACGGGATCGAGAACTTGGATGAGCTCGATACTCGCTTGGTACGCACCCGGCTCCACTCTCGCACTAGCACACTTGGCTGACCTTCTTCCGCTCGCGCAGTCGACGTTACCCAACTTGCCGACCCGCCTGTCCGCCCAGCTCCGCAACATCATCACGTACTTCGAGAGCCGTTCGGGCGTCGGCTGCATCCCCGTCCTCATCGCTCGCCAAAACATAGACGGAACCGAGTTCGAGTTCAGCAACATGCTCGTCGAGGACTCGAACAACGAGCAGGTGCGTCTGGCCGTCCTCGCTACGTGCTGCAGCTTCGCTGACGATGCCCTGATTGGCCACAGCTCTCCTACGTCGACTACCTGTGCATGTGTCACCAGAAAATCCAGAGCACGTTGATGGGCGAGAAGAACAAGGATGTAGCCGACAGCAGTAGTTGGACGACTTGGTGATGTAGGGGGGACGACCTCGCAATGGACGATACGGTATCCGCCACGGTCGAGAGGCTCAAGACAGAGCAGCTCCTCGCTATTGAACGCTTGCACGCTCGCTTCTCTTCCTCCGCCGCTTCGGTTACCCGTCTTCGCCCAGCAAGCACGATATTGTCCAGTCCGCCGCAAGCTCAAGTGCTCCCTTGAGTGCGTCTGAATCTCCTGCGACCGCTCACAGCCGCGCGACAGCCCAACTGCTGCCCCACCGTCGTGATGGATGGAGCAGCAGGGCAGCGCACACGGACGCTGGACCGGCGGTCGTGCTGCACACTGCACCTAGCTAACACCGTCTCTGCAAGACCTGACCTCGTTGCTGTTTGTTGCAGGTTGTTCCGCTCTCATCACCTCGAAGCGTCGAAGCACCTCTCCGTCCCCCTTCGTCCGCAAGTACGCCACCAGCCGACAGTCTGTACCGTTCTCCGGACCATGCCTCGCACTCCTTCGCCGGCTCGGAGCCCCCGAAGCCCCTCGCGCTCTCGCTCTCCTCGCTCTCGATCCCATTCCCCCATCGGACCCGACACCGTTCGCGTCACGAAGCTCACGAAGAATGTCACGACCCTGCACCTGGAAGAGATCTTCGACGTCTACGGGCGGATCCTCGACATCGACTTGCCGATCGTCCAGCGACTCGGGACACACAAGGGAACGGCGTGGATCACTTTCGCCTCGCCAGCTGCCGCCGCGAAGGCAGCCGACTACATGGATGGCGGGCAGATTGATGGGTCTATCGTGACGGTGGTGCTTGACGAGGCGTCCCCGCCGCCACGAGGAGGAGGAGCGAAGCGCGCGTCCGTCTCTCCGTACCGAAGGGGCGGCGGGGCCAGGGGCAGAAGTCTCAGCCCAAGACGTGGCCGGACGCCTAGTAGGAGTCCTGTGCGGGCTCGAGCTCTGGACGCAAAGGGGCGAGGAGGCATCCGCGGCAGATCGCGCAGCCCGACGAGGTCAAGGTGCGTCGGGCGGCTTTCGTTGCTCGGCAACGCTCACGAGTACATGCTGATACGCTCTGCGCCTGCCCCGATAGGAGTCCCATCCGCCGCTCTCTCTCACCGAGGCGACGCTCCCCGAGCTACAGTCCGCGCCGTTCGCCTCGTCGGGATGGACCGAAAGGTCTGCCTCGCGGTCGCAGCATCTCTCGCTCGCCCTCACCTAAGCGGCGGCCGAGGTCTCCGTCTCCCAGGCGACGATGATGATCAGCAGGAGGAGCGGGCGAGAGTCGCGGAGGAAGATCGCGTCCGAGGTGAAGGGGGAAAAAGCATAGTCTCTGCTTGCGAGAATTGCAAGTGCCCAGTAGCTTCCTCAGCTTGAGATTAGCTGGGCCGAGAGCAAGCTTGACCGAGAGACGCTCGAACATCGCACCTTCAACCTGCTCCCGACAAACGAGCGGGACCCTCTCCTCGACTCTTACTCAAGCCCGTCTCCTTCTTGCTGCGATGGCTGCTACCGATGGCACTGACAAGAAGTGCGTATACAGCGCCGCTCGTGTGTCCCATCCGTCCGCTGTGCGCTGACCTCGAACCTCCTCCCCTCCTCTCATCAGGAACGATGCGACCGACAGCGCCCGCATTGGGTGGGCGTTCCTCTCGCAGGTGCGCAGTACCTCTCTAGCGGTCTGTTGGATCAGACAAAGCTTACCAGCATTCGCGCGGCCACCCAGTACTACTCGTTTCTCAACAAGGACCCCGCTCGCCTGCACTGCTTCTACACCAAGCGCTCGACCCTGATCCATGGCACGGAAGGCGAGGACTCGGTCCCCTGCTATGGGCAGCAGGTGCGCTCGGCTTGCTTGCACATCGAGTGACGGGCCTGTCGGAGCTGACGTCCTCCCGCTCCCCCGCGCGTGAACAGGAGATTCACGCCAAGATCATGTCCCTCAAGCTCGACGACTGCAAGGTCTACATCAGCAACGTCGACAGCCAGTCCTCGGCCGAGGGCGGGATCATCGTCCAGGTTCTCGGCGAGTTGTCGAATGCCAATGGCCCTTGGCGCAAGTTCGTCCAGACGTTCTTCCTCGCCGAGCAGCCCAATGGCTACTTCGTCCTCAACGACATCTGCCGGTACATCAAGGAGGAGGGCGACGAGTCTCCCGAGACGCCTACTCCAGCCGTCCAGCATGAAGCCGTGCAGAACGCTGCTCCGGCCAGCGTCCAGAGCATTCTCTTCGACGACAAGGCCACCCTGTTCACCAACGAGAACCGGGATGAGGCGCAGCCTCAGGCCGAGGCCGAGCAAGCGCATGGTGACGACACCTTCACCTTCCACTCTTCCCGCGACTTCACCCCGGCGACTACGAACGGGACATCGTCGGAGGAAGCGCCCGAAGCGACCGAGCTCGAGCACACCGACGCTACTGCAGATGCACCGGAAGCTTCAGAGCCCACTGAAGCTGCCGAGACTCGCCCTGCTGTGGAAGAGTCGGCACCCGCTCAGCCCGAGGAGACGGAGACTCCCGTCCCGGTCGAGACGCCTGCAGCTGAGCAGGCAACTGCTGAGCAGCCGCAAGCGTCAGAGTCTGCGTCGACTCCCACCTCCGAACCCGCCTCGGCTGCTGCGCCTGCTCCTGCCGCTCCCTCGGCTGCACCGACACCCAAGTCTTGGGCCAGTCTCGCCGCGTCCAACTCTACGAAGTGGGGGCGTCTCTCCAATGAAGCGAAGGGCGTGTCTTCGGCGGCCTCTTCGGTAAGGTGGTCGTTGACTCCTTCCTGAGCGAAGTTCGCTCACCGTGCCTCCCACACCAGGCTCCGTCTCCTGCCGTCGAGCGGGCGCCTGCGCCTGCTGCCGCTCCCAGCGCGTCTACTGCCCAGCCGCAGTTCGTCGAGTCGGTCATGGCGATCCGCACGCCGTCCTGCTTCGTGAAGGGCGTGATCGAGACCGTCTCTGAGCAGGCTCTCAAGGACACCCTCATCTCCCGCTTCGGTCCTTTGAAGGAGGTCGACATTGTCCGCAACGTGTGTTCTCCCTCTCCACACGCCGCTCAGCGTCCATTCTGACGATGCCCTTGTTGCCCTCTCGCAGAAAGCCTGCGCCTTCATCGAATTTGAGAAGCTCGATCACGCCCGTCGTGCTATCCAGACGTCGCTGCGCCAGGCGGAGGGCGGCGAGGGAGGCATCATGATCACGGTCGACCCGGCGACTGGCGCGCAGACCCGCATCAACATCGTCGAGCGCAAGCCGCACGACCAGCGGCCCAAGCGCGCGGACGGCGCGACACGCGGCGGTCGTGGTGGATCATCTGGCGGCACCGGCGGCAGGGGCGGCGCGCGTGGCGGCCGCATCGGTACTTCGGCTCGCGGCGGCGCCGCCGCCAAGTAAGGACCTCGAGGAGTCCGCCTGCGCATGCTCTCTCAGTCCTCGATCTCCCGCCATGCCCACCATTCCCGCCAACCTGCACCTCTTGTGCTCCCCTCTCCGATGACCCGCTCAACCACCGACCTTCGCCCGCTTCCCTGTTGTTCTTGTCCCCCTTGCCCTCCTTCGCCGTTCTGTTTCGTCTCCACTTTCCCTTAGCATTCTCCGCACCTGCTCTACCTCGTTACACCTGCTGCATACACTTCCTCTTCCACCCTACCCCTCGCAATTCGCCTTCCCCTTCCCTCCTCGATCCTACCTCGCACAAAAGCTTGCAAAGAAGCGCAGTCAATTCCAGCTCCTGTCGAAGAGAAGACTGCGTGATTGGGGAGAGTAGAACAGCTGTTACACGCGTTGAGAACGCAGGACAAGGAGTACCTAAGAAGCGAAACGGCGTTTTGTCAGCCGAATTCGTCGGAACCTTCGAGCGAGTGCCGCACGTACAGGCAGGAATCAGGAGCGAGCTTCGAGGTTGCGGTGAAGCGCAGGGTTGACCTGAACGACGCGCTCGAGCAGGTCCTTGACGACCTTTTCGCGGTTCTCCTCGAACGACGCCTCGATCTTGGCGAGCGCCTCCTGGGTCGCCTTGTTCACCTCGTCTTGTGAGCTGGAAGAGTCGCCAGAGTGCTGCATGAAGGGTGTACAGTCAATGCACGGTCTTGAAGAGCGTCACGGAAAGAAGTTCGGGCTCACCTGGTTCTCAAACTCCTTGAACTCCGCCTCCTTCTTCGCCCGGAGCTGCTCGATCTCTTTGCTGGCCTCCCCTCGCGCGTCCTTCAGTCGCTGGTTGCGGTCTGTCACGTTGCGAGACACCATCAGGTCGAGGTCCGAGAGTGGGGAGCGAGAGCAGAGAGACGCACATTCGCGCGCCTTGGCGACAATCTGCGACGCCTCCTTCTCTGCGTCGAGCAGTGTCGCGATTCCTTGAGCTGCGATTGAGCGGAGCGGGCGTTCGAGCGGGGTCAGCGATGATGCGGACGAGGAGGGAGCGGGAGAGGAAGGGCGCACAGTTGGCAGCCTGCGGATGTGCGATTCAGGTGTCAGCTACGCATCATCAGGACACGTATTAGCGCAGAACAGACCATTTCTGAGCGACTTGTGCGATGAGGACGAGCGAGAGAGTCGCGAAGTCGCAGGTTGGCTCTCTCGCGTCGACCCCGTCCGCCTGGCTGGGGCGAGCGTGTGACAGAATGAGCTACTACTCGTCCTCGGCACCGTCTGCGCACCAGGCAGCTTCGCCAGCGCCGTCCGTGTCCGCCGACCTCTCCCTCGTCTCCTCCCTCTCTGAACCGTCGACACAGCCTGCCCTCAAAGCAAATGGTACGTGAAGCCCGGCGGATGCACCTGCTCAGAGCGCAGAGCCGCCTTGACGCGTTGCCCACCTGTAGCCGCCGTTCAAGCCGTCGAACCGCTCGCGCGACTCCTCCTCAATCCTCCCGACCTTGCCGCGCTCAAGGTTGCCCTCGCAGGCTTTGCAAGCGCCTACCCGTTCCTCTTTCGATATGCGTGAGTTCCCCGCCCCTCTGCCGGGCGGGAAGCAGCTCACATTGCTTGCGCGAAACAGCTGCCAGTCGGGCGACCAGAATCAGTGGAACCGGGTCATCTCCCTCAAGATGGCCGTGCTGCAGCTCTGGCGGAGCGGGAGCGTCGGCGGAAAGGTCGGCGCGGTCAAGGCAATCCAGCGGATCGTGCAGACGCAGAGTACGGCGCAGACGGCGGATCCACGGGTGCGTCTCGCCGTCTTTATGCGCGACTTGCGGCCAGCTGACCGCCGGGAGGCCGCACCATAGCTCGCCAGGAATCCCGAGCCCAACCTCTCCCTCTGCCGACCGAACCACCCCTTCCTGAAGATCGCAGCCCTCGAGGACGAGTCAAACAAGCTCCTCGAGGAATGCATCACGACTCTCTTCACGTCCAACTCGGCCGACCTCGTCTCCGCCATCGTCTCCTCCCTCGCCACGCTCCTCAAGAATCGACCGCAGTACGCCAAGCTGGTCATCACGAGCTTGACGAACTGGAGCCCGGCGGCGCTGGCCGGCCAGAGCGCCAGGCAGATCAAGAGCGTCGAGAAGGTCCTTCGCCTCGCGCTCATGCATCTCATGAGGTCCGTACAAAGCGTCGGGACGTCGGACGTTCGAAGGAGCGTGCATTGACCCTTTCCTCGTCGCAGATCTACCCATGGCTCCGCCTATCAATCCCAGATCACCGACTTCCTCAACCAACAGGCTACGCGCATGGCGCAGGCCGCAGCCGAGGCGCAACGACGGAAAGACGAGGAGGCGTCGAAGAAGCGGCAATTGCTCGCCTCGCAGATCGACGAACAGCAAGTCAAGCGGAGAAGGCTCAACCCGTCCGTCGACGCCGTCCGCCTCTTCTCAGCTGCAAACCCTGCATTTGAGCGACCGCCGCCGAGCATCGCCGACTTGCCACTGGAAACGGTCGTCTCTTCGCTCATCGCGACGCTGCAGAACGTGTCTGATCCCGCTTTGGCGACAGCTATCGAGGCGAGTCATTCGATTGCGCCTCACAAACCGGTCGCTGACTTTATGCTGTCGCTTGTGCAGGCGGTGCGGCTACAACTCCCGGCGAGCGAGGCGATGACTCCGCGTGAGGGCACACCGAAGCCAGAGGCGCCTGCGGTCGATCCGCTCAAGCTTGATCTCGGTGCCGACGAGCTGGACCTCAAGGCAGAAGTACCGCCCGAGCCAGCAGTACGCCACGCTTTCCCTTCTGAGCGATTCCTGAGCTGACTTTCCGCGACAACAGCCGGAAGAGACGGAGGAAGAGCCGATCGACCACAACGTTGCTTTCGAACCTGTCGGCGTGGCCGGCGGCGATCTCGAGCTGTCGGCGCCGTTCGAGATCACGACAGAAGCGCGGAATACGATGATCCTCTCGTCGCTCAAGCGGGTATGCGCGGCAGGGGCCGGCGGCGCCAGCTCGGCGCTCTGGGTGCCTCTAGTCTCCAGGCTTATCACGCGCGGACTCGAAGGATCGGACGAGGGCGAGCCCACAGAGGAGGCTGCTCGGAGAGGCGAAGCTTTGCGGGAGGTCCTCTTCAGCTTCATCAAGGGCGACTTGCAGACTAGGTGCGTGCTGCGCGTCTGCGTCGCTGTATGCCCTCGGGCAGTTGTTTACGGCGACCGATTCGTTCGCAGGACGGAGCTCGCACGAATCTGGCTGAACGAGGAGTGGTTCGCGGCTCGACGCCGGCGGCAGATGGAAGTACGCAGGCTCTCGAGCGTCTCGAACGACCGACGCGCCTGCTGACTATATCGCTCTCGAGCAGAACCGACCGTACGATCGATGGCTGCGACTGTTTCTCGAGCACATCAGCGCGGCCTCGTCGAACAAGGACAAAGAGCTTCTGCAGTTCCTCATGGATCTGCCCGAAATTCCGGTTGACGAGATCCATCGCCTCGAGACTATGGCGCTCAATGCTGATCAGTGAGTAGCGCCGGCCTCGATACCTGCGCTCGAGTAGCTGAGACTGCTCGCCGCTTCCCAGGATGCAGCTCGGCTTCTCGACCCTTCGAGAACTCGTCATCTTGCGACCGTCGGTCCGTCCGAGTGCCTTGGACGTTCTCCTCGGCTTGAGCACGCACGAAGGTACGCATGACTCTTGGCGAGCCGCTGCACAGCAAGCTGACCACCAGCCCTCAACGCAGACAAGCGCGTGCGCAATGCGGCGATCATGACGCTGAAGAAGTGGGTCCCCGACGTGGCAGAATTGAGTGACACGATCGTTGCGTTCGCGGTGTCTGTCATTGAACGGCTCGAGGTTGCGCCGGCGAAGGAAGGGTCAGAAGATTTGAAGGAGTCTGGCGGCGACCACGGAGGCGAGGCCGACATGGCGATGGACGCGACGCCGCCGCCAACGGAGCCAAAGCCGCCCTTCGCGCTCGTCAAGGACGCCCGCGTGGTCGATCGCCTGGACCCTCCGACAACCTTGAGCGGAGTCACTCAGCACGTCGAACTACTGCTGGCGCTCTGCGTGAAAGAACCGAGACTTCTGAAGCCGTGCGTTCGATCTACCTCTCTGGTCCGATGCAAGCTGACAGTGACGGTCTCCCAGCCTCTTTGAGCATTACCCTCGCATGCAGCCATACGCACAAGGGTCGCTCGAGGAACTTATCGTGCCCCTCATGCGCGCTCTTGGCATCAAGCACCCCGGCGTGCTCGAGCTCCTCGGCGACTTCCCGGCCGGTAGCGACAAGCTTGTTCTCCGGTGCATCGACATCCTCGCAGACAAGTCGAAGCTCCCGTCGAACATCATCGCGCTCATCAAGGAGGTCGCCGCCAAACGAGACCTCGACTCGCGCTTCTACGCCATCATCGTGCCCGAGTGCGGCAAGGTGCGTCACCTTCAGCAGAGGTCATGGTTCTCGCAGCGCCTCACGTCACGATCTCGCAGGCCGAAATCGTCCGCTACCTGCCCCGTGTAATCTCGCTGCTCGACGGCACGCCTCAGAAGAAGGCCGCGATTCGGTCAATCTTCCTTTCGGTCATCGCTCCGCCAGCCCACTTCAGCTCGATCAATTCCTTGCGCACTCGGAGCGACTCGCTCACGCCGGTCGAACTGATGACTTACCTGCACAAGCACGACAAGGAGATTGGCATCAAAAACACGATCGAGGGTACGTGGTCTGCTTCTTTGCGCCCAACACGCATTCTCTGACGCGCTCAGCGACAGCCATTTCGATCTGTTTCTCGATGGCGGACGGGTTCCGCCCCGAGGTGCTCGCGGCGTTCATGCAGCAGATCGTCGACGAGCCTACGCTGCCAAATCTCTTCCTCCGCACGGTAGGTGGACTCTCGCGGATGGCTTGTGCACCACACTTCCTCTGCTGACGAGGTCTGCCATTGGCCAGGTCATCCAAGCCGTGACAACCTACAAGTCGCTTCAACCATTCGTATCGACCACTCTCCTCTCGCGCCTCATCACGAAGAAGATCTGGACGGTCGGACCGCTCTGGGAAGGCTTCATCCGCCTCGCAAAGGCGATCGCGCCCAACTCGTTTGCGGCACTCCTGCAGCTGCCCAAGGAGCAACTTGCCGAGCTCGTGCAGAAGCAGCCTACAATGCGCGAGCCGCTGCGCGATTACGTCGTCAAGAGTACGTTCTTCCCTGTTCGAAAGGCTGGGCGCGCTGGTCGCTGACTGCTCTCACTTCACAGAAGGAGGAGCGAACAACGCTCGCATGGCAGCCGTCCTTGAGGCGCTTGACGAGCCGAGCGGTGCAGCAGCGGAGGACGGTGTCGCGTCGAGCACGGGCGGTACGCCCGCGCCATAGGTTGCATTTCAAGCGTTTGCAGGCCCATTTTGCTCGAGCGAGCACAACATGAGGAAGTTGAGAAGTCGTTCCTTGACCTCGGCGGCAGCCGCGGGCTGCTCCTTGGCGAGATCTCCTGCTACCCAGTCGGTGAAGGACTTGCAAGCCGTTCGGATGTAGAACGACCGGTTTGCGTCTTGCACCTTCCGAAGCGCGCAAATCACGACGATGCGATGCCGCAGCTGACTCTGCCACGGCTCGAGCATTTGCGGCGGAGGGAGGCGAGTCAATGGCTGGCACTGCATCGACGCGTATTGCCAGACAGTCGAACGAGGCTGCATCGTCCTCATCTGGATGTCGTCCATGCGCTGCATCTCGAGAGCGCGCAGCTCGCCAGTCACGAGGTCGGTGAGAGCGATATCGAGCGGCTCCGTTCGAGGGAACTCGGCTTGTCGTGCTTCGGTGAGGTTGGGGATGACATTGTTCTGAGCGCGAGGCGGGACAGAATGAGCGCAGCGCATGGCGTCGAGCGCCGCAGGCGAGCGCACCTTGAGTTTGTCTCGAGGTGTGGAGAAGCGGTCGTTGAAGTGCATTGCGAGCGAAGGGAAGTCCGGATGGTCGGGGTCTTGAACTCGCCAGTCGAGGTGCGCTAGGGCGTCGTCCGCTTCTTCTTGCGTCAAGGGTGGCCAGAGGCAGGGATTGGAACGAGGACCGCAAATCCGTTTGTGATACTTCCAGACCTGTGACGGATGGGACTTGTCAGCGGTGCGCAAACCGTTTCCGACGATGGAGACGAACTCGTTTCTGGCACTCCGCCGAGCAGAAGCGAAGCTCGATGCCTGCCTTGCGACAGGCAGAGCAGCAGTTCTCGGTCGCAGTGCTGCAGACGAGGCAGCCGGCTGTCCCAGGCGCCATCGTCGTTGACCAAGATGAGGTGGGGAGGCGAAGCGAACGGCGAGGACGCGAGGGCGCAGGTCGCAAGAGCGCGGCTGGATAGAGCAGCGAAAGCTGGCGAGGCGATACTAGCAAGCCCACGCCCTGCCACAGTGAGTTGCGGGTAGTCGAAAGAAAGGCGAACGCCGGGAGACTACTGTCAGATGTCAGACGCAAATGTTACAAGCAACACAAGAATACGAAGCTAGAAGCGGAGGCGAGATCCCGATTCCTTCAAGACGAGCCATTCGAGCCTCTCCTGCACTTGCTCGAGTCCCTCCCACCAGTGAGAGGCCGTTGTGCCGACGTCCTCCGCCCCTCGCTGTCCAAACTCCTGCTCCAGCACGCAACCCCACCACCTGAGCACGTCCGTGGCCTTCTTAAGGTCGTGGCCCTTGTCGCGCGAAGCGCACTTCTCGACGTAGCGGCCGAGGGCGTCGAGGTCGTCGTTGTCTGGCCCGTCCGACTTGGCGAGCTGCACCCAGTTCTCGACCCTGTCGAGCACGTCGGAGAGCTCGACCTTGCCCTGGAAGCGAGGCGGAATTCGGACGGCTACATCCTTGACCGGCGCACGCAGTCGTGGCCCGCTCGCATCAATCGACTCGCGCTTAGGTCTGTCGCCGACGACGAGTCGCTTCTGCCGAGCCTTGTGGACCTCGATCTGCTCGAGCTGAGTCGACTTGCCGAGCGCGCGGAACATGCTGGGGTCGTACTGCATCGCCGCGATCTGCGAGTCGGTCAATTCGGAGGGCGAAGGCGGCAGGACGATGACGGCCGGAGGCGCTTTCGGGGCCGGTAGTTCGTCGACAGGTGGCCCTTTCGCGCCCATCGGAGGGGTCGTCTCCTTCCTTGCGAACCCTTCCAACTTCTCCTTGGTCGGAGGCGGCTTCGAGCGGCGCGCGTCCCGGAGGACCTCGACGCGCAAATCGCGGTCGAGCGTTCGGTACGTCTCCGGGTCGATGCCGTAGTAGCTCAGCTCGGCGTCCGTGACTTGCGACGCCGTAGGAGGCGGAGGAGCGACGGCCTTTTTCGTCGGTCTGAACATGGACGGGATGTATGGGTCGGGTGTCCGAGTGCGTCGAGTTCGCTGACGCAGAGGCCCTGTCGACAGTCGAGCCGGAGGTGGTGGTGGAGGTGCGCGAGAAGCGATCTCCTCTGTGTCCGAGTCCGAGTCGAGAATGATTGTCGAAGGCTCCTTTCGCAGCGCGGGAGCAGCTTGCGATTCCTCACGACGGCGAAGTCCCGACGCCGGCCTGGCCGTCTCCTTCGGGCTCGAGGATATCGTAACGGCAGCGAGCTGTGGAGGAATGGCCTCATCGACGGCTGGCTGTCGAGGCGAGTTTGGCGGCAACACTGCGGGAGCGGACGGCTTCTTGATTGACGGCTGAAACGACAACGTCGACTGGCCCTTCTCGCGGACGACGTCGACCGGAATGCCGTCCTTCTCGAGTTTCGAGAGCTGGATGCCGATGCCGCGAAGCTCGTGAGCGGGAGCTTGCATCGAGCGCATAAGCTTCCATGCCGTCTCGCCGACAACGTCCGAGTCGTCCGTCGCTCCGCCGCTCTTGCCAGTGATCGTCGACACCTTGTTCTCGGTGTTGCAGTACCCGTGACCGAGGAACTTGGGCGTATCGATGGGCGCGTCCGGATGGCGGGTCATGACTTTGAGCGTGAGCTGCCGCGCCTGCAAGCCTTGGGCACGAAGGCGTTTGGCGGTCTCGGCGCCGAGGTTGCGCATGAATTGCTGGACAGAATCGTGTTAGTCGGGCGGGAGCTGCAAAGAGACGACGGGAGCGCACCTCGACAAGGTCGTTCCGCCCTGGAGGAAAACGGATGCCGTAGTTGACCTCCGTGGAGACTGATTGACGAGGCTTGCCGACCTCGAGTTCGCGGTCATCGACGCCCTGCGCAAAAGCGGCGAACTTCTTGCCGTTCTCGGGGCCAATCGTCCGGGCGAGCTTGTATGGCGGGACGCGACGAAGGTCGCCCACCGTTTCGACGTTGAGTTCCTTCTTCAGCTTGTCCCGCAGACTCCAACCGATGCCGGGGAGAGAGTCGACGTCGAGAGGGAGCAGAAACTCGTCGACGTCCTCGGGGAAGAGGTGAAAAGCCGAGGCAGGCTTTGCCTTGCGCATGGCGAGCCGTGCAAGCAAGATGTTGTGCGAGATGCCGATGGAAGCTTGACAGCCGGTCGCATCGAGGATGTCGGCGCGGAGCTTGCGAGCGAGATCCATGGCGGGGTCTTGATCACGAAAGACGGTTGGCGGTACGTCGACTTCCATCAGGCACTCGTCCATCGAGACGATCTGGAGGTAGGAGGCGTGCGCAAGCAAGATGTCGTAGAATGCGAGGGTGATGCTGCGTTCACGGCCTTGTCAGTAGCAGCGACTAGAGATGCTCGAAGCAACGCACCTTCGGTAGAGGTCGAACTCGAAAGGCATCGTCTGGATGTCGGGGCAGAGTTCGCGTGCGCGGCCGAGACTGCGAACGTCCATGTTAGCAAACCGTTCTCCCCGCCATGCCGTGCAACGCACCTCATGCCATTCTTGACGCCGCAGCTGCGCGCCTCGTACGAGCACGACGCGATTTCGCTCGTACTGCTTGCGGCGTCCGCGTCGCCCTTCGCATGACAGACGGCGACAGGCTTGCCGCGCAGCTCAGGCCGCGTCGTCAAGCCAGCGCTGACGAAGAAGCAGTCAAAGTCGACGTGGAAGATCGTCCTGCCGTCTGACGCTCGACCCGTCAACTTCTTCTTCCTCGCTGGCCGCACGACGCTTTGCTGCTTGCCCGCCATGATGACCTTGAGCTCCTCCTTGAAGGTACTGATCCAGTGGAGACGCGACTGGGCGAAGTAGCCTTCAAGAAAGTCGGCCGAGGACGCCGTGTGCTTCGATAGCCAGTCGGCGTCTTGCAGGAGGGCGTTGGTACGCTCCGACCGCTCGGTTTGCGGAAGCCACGAGTGCGTGATCGCGTTGGGCTTGCCAGGTGAATCGGTCGTCGCGGGGAGATTGGCGGCGATCCGTTCGGGAGGCGGAAAGATGTCCGGCGCTTCACCCGCGACGAATTTGCGCGGTTTCTTGGGTGTCGTGGGACGCGAAGGAGGTCGAGCGCCATCGTCAACGTTGACGGTAGAGCGTGGGCGAAAGAAGGGGTTGGCGGCGGAAGCAGATTGCGCTTTCAGCGCCTCCTTCGCCAGTCGCGCTCCTCGCTCAGAGAGCGTCTCGATCGTTTCCGTCCGCGGCTTGATCACCGCATCTGAATCCTTGTCACGCCCGCGCCCGGTCTGCGTAACCCCGTCACCACCCTTGCCGACACCCATGCTGAAGAGGCTCATCTGTCCCGTCTGCGTGCCGAGTCGAGCTGCTGTCTCGGCTGCGAGCGAGCCGGCGCCGGGAGCTGCCGTGCTTGTCGTCGCTACGGGTGCAGGCGCGCTCTTTGGCGGGGCCAGTAGCGAGAATTCGCGCCAGTCGAGCAGCTTTCGCGCCTTGACAGACTCGACGAGCCAGTCGTGCTTGACGACCTTGTAGCTGGCGAACTCTTTCCGCTTCGATGGAGTCAGGTTTGAGGCGACGATGTGCGTGACGAGGCTCTTCTTGTCGAGGTACGGAACGTACTCCCCGCCGTGCTGAACGAGGAGCTCGATGAGTTCGGGGAGGGTGACACCGTCGGTGAAGCCGTTGATCTGCGCGGCGCAAGTCAGCATACGCCGGAGCAAGCTCAGAAATCGTCTGAGACGCACGTAGACCCGCAAGCCTCGCAAGATCTGCGGCTTCTCCTCGCCGTTCTCGAGCATCGCCTTGTTCTGCACCTGCAACTTCTTGCGCTTGTTCCGCATGTACTTGCCCTGTAAGAAGTGTTGAGATGTGCGTCAGCAACATGCGGCTCTCGCATTACCTAAGAAACCGCTTCTGGTCGAGACGGGCGGGATGACATCGAGCGGGAGAGGTAGACGCACAAACTCGCCAAACTTGACTGGCTCGTAGAACTGCTGCTCCCTGTAGTCGATCTCATCGTTCGCAGCGGCACGCTTCGTCCCCTGAGGCGGACGTGCGGTTGTGTCGGCGGTTCGAGGCGGGTTGAGCGATGAGGATGCAAGGGTGGTGTCGGGGTCGAAGTCGGCCAACGCAAGGTCGAGCGCCGGGTCATCCGACCCTTCCGCAGTAGCAGAAGGACCCGAGCTGGTCATCGCGGCGACCTGCGGCGAGAGCGCGCGAGGAGGACGAGGTTGACCTTTGCGAGGGGCTCGTCGAGGAATGTCAACCTGCGAGACTCTCGCCGACTCGCTTCAAGCGTCGCTGAACGAGCATGTGAGATGCATAAGATGACCATTCAGATAGACTTAGTGTCCCGCTTCTATGACCGTGACCAGACAAACTCGACAACTGAACAAAACGGAAGCCGACCAAAGCCCGTGCGTATCGACAGAAAACCCACCCCCGTTCAAACCGTGCTAGTGTCCCTGTTTTGTGCGTGCTTTGTACCTACCCCGAAAACCGTCTATCCCCAGATCGAAGTCCCGAAAGCTGCGCGTCCTCCCCTCGACGACGGCGCTCCCCCAGCTCCTGCTGCGAGCGCAGGCGAGCTCGAATCCATACTCGCCCGCCTCGGTCCACCCGTGGCGCCGATGTCAGGGACGACGAGCCCCGCGCCGAGTTCCTTCGCCGTCGGCCCGACCGACACGCCTCGTTGAGCTGCACCCGCCGCGCCTTCTCCGCCTCCCAATCCTGCCGCCGATCCAGCCGGAGCAACCAGCGACCTCCTACGATTCGGCTCGCCATTCTCCTCGGCCGACGCCGGCGGCGAAAGGCCCTCAGCCCAGCCAGGCTGCAAGCTCGACCCGAACGCGCCTCCGCCGCCAACATCGAGCTGTGCCTGCGCCTGCGGTCGCGGGCTGTTCTGCAGGCTGCGACTCGCTCCGCGTCCGCCGACAGCGAGGCCTTCAAAGGCGTTCGAGAGGGCGAGCGTCTCCGAGACAGAGTGTCCCGGACCGTTCGCGCCCGTGCGAGCGTCGTCGAGCGACGGTCGGTCCTGGATGGGCGAGATGCGAGGCGAGAGAGGAGGAGCGGATGCCGAGTGAGGGACGAGAGGCGAGCGCGTGATAGTCGTTGCAGGCGAGGGCGCCGAAACGGGCGGGAAGTAACTCGGCTCGTCCGACGCTTCTTGCCGCCGAGACTCTTGCTCCGCCTCGCCCGACGGCTGATGCTCCTCCTCGCCAAGCTGCGGATGCTGCTCCTCATCCTCCTGCTGCGCATACTCGCCGTTGACGCCGGCGTGTGCGGCAGAGTACGGGTACGCCGGGAACATCGGGTTGAAACCGGGCGTCTGCTGTCCAGGCGCGACGTTTTTCCATGCTCCTGCTCCCTGTGTACCGTTCGGTTGCTGGTGACCGCCAAAGAACGGCACGCCGGGGGAGAACGGTCCGACGTTGAAGTCGCCTGGCGAGAACATCCCGCCTGGCATGATTGGCGGAGTCGGCTGTGCGGCGAACGGTCCTGCGCCGCCAAAGGTGAAGGCGGGCATCGAGGGCGTCATAGGACCGAGACCGGCGAGGCGGGTCGAGGTTGGGTGGCCGAGCGGCGAGAAGGGACCGCTCGGCGTCGCTGCTGAAGCGCTCGTCGCGCCCGCGTAGCCGGCGAGAGAGGCGAAAGGTAGAGGTGGAGGCATGGCGATGCGGGAGGGTGCAGCCGGATGGTGGTGGCCTCGTGAGAAGGAGGATGCTGGGTGCGGATGCGCATGCGGGCGAGGGTGAACGAGGTGATGACTCGACACCGTCGGCTCTCGCGCATACTTCGTGCGCTCTTCCTCGTCCCCTTCTCCACCCTCGGCGCCTTCGCTCGCTCCTACCTCCGTCGCATCCGCCTGCTCCTCCCGCTTGACCGCCGTCCCAGGCCGACTCTCCGTCAAACTCCCCTCCTTCTCCCTCCGTTCGCCAAACGCCAACTGCGCCAACGGACTCGGCGCACCAACATACCCCTCTCCCGCACCCGCGGCCCTCGTCGGAAAAGGCATGACGAACTGCTGTTGCTGCTGCTGGTGCTGCTGGCCGTTCGCGTAGGGGTAGGGATGCTGAGGAGGCGGAGGGGGAGGGTAGGCGTGGTGAGGAGGTGGCGGGGGAGGGTAGTGGTGCGAAGGACCGTTGGACGAGTTGGGCCCGTTTTGGTTCGGGTTGACGGCGGCACCAGCGAACTTGTCGAAGTGGACCTGGTGGGCGGGATGCAAGTGAGGTCAGCAGCCGTCCGAGGGCAAGTTTCGGGAGAAGCAGAAGGAGAACGAAAGGAAGGGGAGAAGAGAGGGCAGGACGCGGGAGAATCAAGGAAGGCCGGCGAGGGAGAACGGGAGAGCTCCGAGGGGCGCGCGGAGCGGTGCGTCATTGTGCGGATTAGACGAGGAGAGAGATGGAAAAGAAGGGGAGGAGGGAGGATGGAGGAGACCGCCAAGACCCGCAGAAACTCACCTTCAACGCCCTCCCATTGAACTCGTACCCATTGAACATGCCCACGGCCCTCTCCGCATCCCCCTGACTCGCAAACAACACGCTCCCGAACCCTCGACTCCTTCCATCCGGACCCTGGGCAATATCCGCCCTCAAGACGTTCCCCGCGCCGCGCATCAAGTCCTTCAGTTCCTGCCACTGGCAGTTGAAGGGCAAGTTGCCTACGAACAGGTGCCGGTTCGTGTACTGGCCTGACCCGTGCGGTCCTGCGCCTGCGCCTGCGCCGGGAGGGGCGGAGCCTGGACGCCCACTGCCGTTCGAGGGGTAGTACCCTAGCAGACCGGCGGCGGGGACGGCGTATCCCATCGGGTGGATACTCATCATCGGGACCACCATCGCTTGTTGAGGGTGCGGCTGGTGAGGGTGTTGGTGTTGCTGGAGGTGCGGGGGGATCGAGGAAGGCGCGGGAGGAGCAGGCGCGTGTTGCATCGCCATGAGGTGCTGGAACTGCGGTGGGATATCCGGATTCGAGGACGAGCCGGGCGGAGGAGGCGGCGGCGGCGGAGGGACAGGCGACGAAGAGGACGGATCGCGCGAAGGAGGCGCGAGGAGCGGGCTCTTCCGCTCGTTCGTCGGAGAGGTCGAGTCGGCTGCGGGCGAGTGAGCGGGCGAGGGAGAAGGCGAAGCGCTCGAGTTGCGCGACTGGACGTTGGACGAGCCGAGGTCCGGTTGCAGCTGAGTCGGCGACGATCTCGCCGCTTCAGGCGAGAGGTACGGCGAGCTCGACCTCTGCTGCGGTTGCTGCTGAGCAGGAGCGAGGAACGTCTGACCCAGCGGCGACGGAACCTGCACCAGCATCGGTCCGAAAGGCGCAGCGACCATCCCCATCCCCGCCATTCCCATCGGTACCATCCCCATCGGCGCCATCCCCGGCATACCCATCATCCCGGGCGGAGGTGGCGGAGGAGGGGGAGGCAAGACCGGACTTCCTCTCTGACCCTGCTGCTGGGCCTTCTGCGCCGCCTGTTGCCGATTCGCTTCAGCCAACGCCAAAGCGCCCGTCGGATCCTGTGCGTCAATTCGCACGTCGAGGACGCGCGTTTGCCAGGTGTAGCCGTGGTAGGTCGCGATGGCTTTCGCGGCGTCTTCGGCTTTGGCAAAGAGGACGACGCCGAAGCCGCGACTTCGTCTGCGCGACGAGAGCCAAAGGGACGTCAGCCGTCGTGACTGAACAGACAGGCCAGGGATTGTTCGCAAAGGACGACTTCGTCCAGGCATCCCGTCCTCCGTATGAACCACCGAATCGTCCGGACAGTCCTCGATCGAGCGAAGATTCCTCTTCAGTAACCAGTATCGGAAGGGACTGCGGTCGGAAAGGAGCCGCAGAAGGTTTGCGAGGTCCGGTCACTGCCGAGACCAACCTCCTTCCTTCCTCCGCTTCGGTCCCTCCCTCCTCCTCATGTTCGGCTTGCCACTTCGCGCGCAGAGATGCACAGTCTGTAACGCCGGGAGAATCTCCGCATCGAGCCCGTTTCCGCCGAAGGCATGCTCCGCGCGTGCGAGTCCTCCTTCCGCCGTGAACTCCGCGAGGCTCCTTGCGCAACCTCAGGAAGACCTTTCCATCCCTAGTCTGCGCGTTCGCACAAAAAGGCGTCCCGCTTTGTTCCCGCCAGTTCGGCGAGCGTTTGCCGTCCGTTGAAGCGAGTTGGGGCTGCAGATTCGTCCGGCGAGGAATGGCCCATCCGTTTATCGCACGTCCGCCAGTCCCGCACGTGAGGGAGACGAGCGCAACTCCGCAAGCCGACAATCTCGCGCCGCGAGCGAACCCAATGTCCCTGGCTTGATCACCTTTCCCTTTCGCCCTCCCTCGAACCCTCAGATTCCTTCGCTTCGCACCCGACGAGTGACGATCGCCAAGAGAACGAAAAGAAAAGAAAAGCTCGACGCACCCATCCGTCGGACTCAACGCGACATCGGCCCTCAACACTGTCCCACACTTTCTCATCAAGTCCTTCTGCGCGCGTCCCAAGTCCCAACCCATCCCATCCATCAGCTCACTTCGGAGGTGGAGGGGAAAAGGGAACGACGCACAAGGTCTTGCCATCGCACTCGGAAGGGGAGGTTCGAGACGAACAATTGGGTGCGGGTATCTTGGTGTTGTTGTCCTCCGTATCCTGCGCCGAGTTGTTGGGGGTGTTGGATGCGCCGGTGAGCGTCGAGCGTTGAAGAGGTGGTGTATGATTGCGGTAAGGGCGGACGGTTCAAAGGCGGAGGAGGAGGGGGGAAGGGATGGTCCCCTGGAGGAGGAGGAGGAGGAGGGGGTGGACCGCCGTTCATGGCTGCTCTCCTAGCCCCCGAGATCGTGAGCGTGTCGCCGTCCTTGTCCGAACCGAGTCGTGTCGCGCGTGGGCGAGGCCAGGGATCGAAGCTAGCGAGTCGCAGTGCACTCGGGCGGCGAGAGGGTGGGCTGGGTGGGTGCGATCGACGTGTGTGTGTCGCGATGTGGGTGTGTGCAGTGGACTGGATGGTGTGAGGGCGAGGGTGAGGGTGAGTTGCGATCGGGATGCGAAGTGGGTCGAGATGTGGAGAGGCGAGCGAGCGAGGTGAGCGGGTGAGCGGGTGAGCTGGAGTGGACTGAGCTGGAGTAGAGCAGCCACTCACCCTAGCTAGTCCCACTCTGTACACTCGCACTGCCCTCGCACCACTCGCTGGTGTGGTGTCCGCTGCGAGAGCCTCACTCTCGTTCTCGCCTGCTCACCCTCACTCACGCTCACTCTCTCTTTGAACGCTGCGCTGGGATGTCACTGCGACAGTGCGCCACCGCACTCGCACGCTCACTGACACGGCAACAACCACCCGCCCGTGCCCTCTCCTCCACCGCCGCCTCCCTCGCCCCCTCGACTCCCCCTCCTCCTCCAATCCAACAAGACACCGACGCCGTCCACGAGTGGGTCCGCACGCGTCCCCGTCCTCACACGCCCCGCAACCCACGGACAGACCTCCGCCACCGCCCCGACGCGCGCTACCTCGACTCGCTCGTCGGCGCCGACCTCTCCTCCTTCGACCCCGTGCTCGACCTCCATCCCTCGCAGCACTCCGTCCTGCGCGCGGCAGACTCGACCTTCAAGGCGAGACAGCCCAACGATGTCCTCGTCACCACCATCAACCGCGTCCCCGGAGAGGTCGGGTACCGCCAGAAGAAGCCGGGCAGCGTCGCGCCTTCGAAGCGCATGAGGGGCGAGGAGGCCTCGATCGAGCACCTCTCGCAAGTCACCCAACTCTCGACAGGCGAGATCCGCAACCTGTACCGCTTCGCGCTCGTCATCAAGCGCGTGGTCAACATGAAGGCCAAGGGCAAGCAGCCCTCGATCTACGCCCTCGTCGTCACCGGCAACGGCCACGGGCTCGTAGGGTGCGGAGAGGGCAAGGACGACGCGGCGGGCAAGGCGGTACAAAAGGCGTTTGCGCAGGCAGTCCGCTCGATGGACTATGTCGAGCGGTACGAGGAGCGCACCGTCTGGGGAAACATGAACAGCAACTTTGGCACCTGCAAGATCGAGATGCGCTCGCGTCCACCCGGTGCGTCCCCATCTCCCTCCCTTGAATGCGCAACTAACCCGAACGAACGACCCGCCGTCGCAGGCTTCGGCCTCCGCGTGAACCCGCACATCCACCAAGTCGCGAAAGCAGCAGGCATCACCGACCTCTCTGCGAAAGTCTACGGCTCGCGCAACCCCGTCCGCGTGATCAAACTCGCCTGCGCCATGTTGCACGGCGGAACCAACCCCGTCGGTGCGTGCCCCCCCCTTCCACTTACTTCCCCACAGAACTCGCTGACGCTCGTGCGGGACAGACATGGGTGGATTCATGTTCGCTGCCGGACAGCGGAGGAACAAGAAAGTGAACGGGATGATGACGGCCGAGGAGGTTGGAAAGGCGAGGGGGAGGAAGGCGATCGATGTCTCGCATGGGAGGTAAGGCGAGTCGCGCGTGTGTCCAGTGGTAGAGAGCAAGTGAATACAGAGCATTACCCGTGACTTTCTGGGCCGGCAAAGAGAGCGAGAGGGAGGCTCGAGTCGTCCTCCTCACGGCTTGACCTCGTCCGCTACACTCGCTTGCTCCGCCCGCCTCGCTGAAACAAACCATGTCGACTCGTGGCTCGCTCACTCAGACTTCAGTCGTCGTCCCCGCTCCCTCCACGACGTGCGTCCCCTCCCCTCTCACTCCCTCTTTCGCAGCCCCACCTCGTCACCCTCCCTCTCCTACTAACTCCCCCCCCAAACCGCTCACCTACAGCCGCGGCCAATGCACCAAACTCTACTCCAACCCCTCCGGCACCCTCCTAGCCTACGGTTCCTCCCGCCTCGCGCTCCTGCGTCCCTTGTTCGCCGACTCGTCGACGGCGGAAGTGAGGACTTTCGGACATGCGCAGAGTGTGAATGTGGTCAAGCCTGTGGGGGAGTATTATGCGGCTAGTGGAGACGCGGGGGGAAATGTGAAGGTGCGTTTGAGCGAGTGAGGGAGGGTCGAGGAGGAGGAGGAGGAGGGAGCTGTTGCTGTCGTCTTTCCGCGCGGAAGACGCAGCGATGGCTCGTACTCTGTGTCCTCGTCTCGAGACCGTCACTGACGTCCCCTCCCCCCCGCGCAGGTCTGGGACACAACCGGCAACTACACTCTCAAACTCGACTCGAAGCCGCTCTCGCGCATCAACGACATCGCCTGCGACTCTGAATCGAAACGGCTCATCGTCGTCGGTGAGGGTCGCTCGGCGTGGGGCGCGAGTTTCAGTCTCGAGACGGGAAGCTCGATTGGGGAGATTAGTGGGCATTCGAAGGCGGTTAATGCGGTTGCGATGAGGCCGACTAGGCCGTTCAAAGCTGTGTGCGTGCGCCGTCTCGTCTCCATACACTTCGAAGGAAACTGACTGGAGTCGAGAACGCACGCAGGACCGGCTCGGACGACTTTAGCGTCTGTTTCCTCAACGGCGTCCCCTTCAAATACGCCTCAACCTCTCGCCGCCACACCCGTTTCGTCCAATCCGTCGCCTACAACCCCTCGGGCTCGCTCTTCGTCTCAGCCGGCTCAGACGGTCAGGTGTTCCTCTACGACGGGACGTCGGCCGAGGAGCGCGGAGCGTTGGTCGAGAGCGCTGGGGGAGCGGCGCATGAGAAGGGCGTCTTTGCGGCGAGTTGGGATCGCGAGGGAAAGAAGGTGGCGACTAGTTCGGCGGACGGGAGCTGCAAGCTTTGGGATGTCGAGAGCGGGAAGGTGGTGCAGAAGTGGGCGTTTGAGGGGGATGATGTGCAGAGTCAGCAGGTGGTGCGCCCGCTCTTCTCGCTTGCGAATTGGTTGGAGGAGGCACTGACTGGAATGCGAGTGCGCAGGGCAACACCTTTGCAGCGGAACATCTCGTCTCGCTCTCCTTCAGCGGCGACCTCAACATCCTCGACGTGCGCTCCCCAACTCCCTCTCGCACGCTCTACGGCCACCAAAACCCCATCACCGCGCTGTCCGTCTCCCAACCTAACTTTGACACGTTCATCTCGGGCGACTCGAGCGGGCGAATCTTGGCGACGACTGCGGAGGGAGAGGTCAAGCAGGTCAAGGGACTGGGACACAAGGGACTGGTCGTGGATGTGGTCAACAAGAGGGATGGAGGGTTCGTCTCGACTGCGTATGACGATACGGTCAAGGAGCTTTCGAAGGACGAGTTTGGGTGCGTGGACGCTTCTCTTGCATTCTGCGTACAGCATGACGGTCGCTGATGCTGAAAGAGTACGACTCCCAGCTCCTCGTCCGTTCCGACCGGCTCACAGCCGAAAGCGCTGGCCTCTGGCGCCCCCGCTTCCGACTCGCTCGTCCTCGCCACGGCCTCGGGTATCGAGATCTTCTCGGCACCGGGCAAATCGCTCTGCACCCTCTCCCTGCCGAAAGGATCCTCCTCCGCCACTCCCACTTGCGTCGCCACCTCCCCCTCCGTCACAGCCGTCGGCACCGACGATTCCCGCGTGCACCTCTACTCGACCACGGACGGCAAGCACCTCAAGAGTATCGAGTTGAGGGCTAATCCGACTGCGGTGGCGTTCCCGCCAGAGGAGAGCGGGGAGAAGGTCGTCGCGATTGGGTTGGCGACGGGCAAGGTGCCGCTTTATAACGTCGAGACGGGCGAGATTGTCAATGCGCGGTGAGTACGCAGTCCGATCGTCGTCGCGATGCGTTCTCGCGCAGCTGCAACGATAACCCAGTCGGTACTTGCGACTCACAAGCTCACACTTGTTTCGCGCAGCTGGGCCGATATCTCTGCCCGTGTCACCTCGCTCGCTTTCTCCCCTTCCGGGTCATACCTCGCCGCCTCCTCGCTCGACGAGTCCATCCGCGTCTACTCGCTTAAGACTCCCTCGTCGATCCTCTCGCTCAAGAACCTGTGCGTCCGCTCTTCCTCTACTCGGGAGGAGAAGCTGACGGTTCTTGGAACGGCGCAGCCACAAGGGTGGAGCGAGCAAGGTATGCTGGGCCGGAGAGGGGAAACTCGTCTCGGCGGGCGCAGACGGAACTATCAGGACGCTTGAGGTCAAGCTTGCATAGAGGGAAGGAATCGAGTAGATGTGTCGCTTTCGTAACACTGCTTTACAGACACTCTCTCTAACGCTCGAGAGTCAATACATGCCGCATTGCTCGCTCACGCAAACTTGCTCCTCGCAATGCCCACCCAACTCTTCGTCACCCACTCCGCAAACAACCCAACATTGTCCACCTCCTGTCCCAGTCTCGCCATCTGGTCGAAAAGGCGGTCGGAGTAGTCGATGGCGGCTGCTAGGCGTTCTGAGGGCGTGAGGGAGGGAGAGGGAGCGAGGAGGGAGAGTTCGGAGAGGGCGTAGATGGTCGAGACGCGGAGGCGGAGGGAGTACCATGCGGTCTGGGGAAATGAGTGCATCAGTGCGAATCATGGGCTTGGGTACCTAGTCAAGCGTCTGCACTACAAGCGGCACAGACTGCGAAACAAAAGCCGAATCTCGCAGACTCACCCCTTGCGCCTCACTCGCACTCGCTTTCGCCAGGTCCTGTGCAATTTGTGCGACGTGGTAGAGGTGCTGGCCGGGACTGGGTACTGGTAACATGGCGGAGAGGTCGGTGAGATAGGTCGAGGAGGGAGCGGTGAGAAGGGCTAGGGCCTGCGGGAAAGGACATCAGTCCCGCACTTCCTACATATCAGTGAGGTCGCACGCACCTGTGGCAGCCTGTCCAACACGTCCTCGTTGTACCGCAGCCGTTCCCGCACGCCGAGCCTCATCGCCTGCTCGCCCTTGAGGCCACTCTCCCGCACTCGCCTCACCATGACGTCCCTGCCCTCCCTGAGCCACTCCTCCACGAGCGCCTTCGCCGGACCTGTCCGCTCCCTACCCCGTGGCGCCGTCCCCTCGCCGCGCGCGAGAGCGATGAGCTCCTGGCGAGTGTAGGACCGTTTCCCGCCGTTCCCGATCAGCAGGCCCTTGACGGAAAAGTCGGACGGCGTCTTGATGGGTGGAGACGGGAACAAGGCGTTCAGCGTGTGCTCCGTGAGAGGTTTTGGCGCCGCCGGGACTGATGAAGAGGCGGCGAGGAGGGTTTGGGCGGTGAAGCCGTGTTCGCGCACGAGTGGGAGCGCTGCGCGCGTCAGCTGCTGTGCGATTGAGCGTGTTTGAGCCATTCTAGCGTCCTTCCAGCCGGATCGAGCAGAGTGGCCGTCGTCGTACGAGGCAGAGGGTCACTTCGCCTCCTCCGCAACACTGGTTCCGCTTCTTCACGCTTGTTCTGCAGCATGGACGACACAGATCGACCAGTCAGGGTTGCGGTAGTCGGGTCTGGGTGCGTGCAGCTCGCCTCGTTGCGTGCGCTTTCCTCCTCGATGCTCACCTTCTCAACCGCCCCACCTCTTCGATCCCAAACAGCCTCGCTGGCCTGTCGACCGCATACCTGCTCTCGAAGGTCCAGGCGACGAGGCACGATGGCACTCTGCTCAGCATCGAAGTCCACCTCCTCGAGAAGGTGTGTTGACCGCCCGCCGTCTCGGAGAACCTGAAGCTCACGTGCGGTTCTATCGCGCTCGCAGAACGAGGACCTGGGCATGGACACGGCGTCGCTGTCGGTCAAGACGGAGGAGGGGTCGTACAGGGTCGACGTCCCGATGCGCTCTATCAACGGAGGTGTGTTCCATTCTCCGCTTCACTCGGTCAAGTCGACCCATTTGACATTGACATCCTCGTGTTCACAGGCTCGCACAGTCGCGTCCGACAACTGTATCAGCACTTGGGCGTCCCGCTCGTCGAGTCTGACTTCTCCTACTCCTTCTCGCGTCTCGCCCGGCAACCTGCCGCTTCACCTCCTTCGTCTGCTCTTCCTTCTGTCGACACCAGCGACGAAGACTCGTCTGTCCCGCCCACCCCTCCACCCGAGTACGCACAGTCGACTCAGTCCCGTGCGCCCACTCCTCCGCGACGTCGCCGGCCAGCCAGGCTCGACAAACCGGTCTCTCCCCCTCCTCGCCCTGCACAAACGACGTCAATAATCTACGAAGGCGCCTCCGGCCTGCGCTTCCCGCCCGTCTCAATCCCCTCGCACCTCCGCCAATCAAGCTACCGCACCCAAATCTCCTACTTCGCCGACACACTCCTTCTCGCCCTCTCCTACCTGTACATCCTCCTCCTCGCCTTCTTCTACGTCCGCCTCGGTCTCGCTCATCCAGCATCTACCATCCCTCCACCCAAAACCCTGCGCGACCATCTTCGACAACTCTGCTTCCGCCTCCTCAGGCTCGAGAACGTCGCGTCTGTCCCGCTCGGCAAGTGGTGCGAGAGGCACAGGGTGCCGAGAGGAATGAGAGAGGAGGTGTTGGTCCCGCTGATGGCGGCGGTGGCGACTGTTGGAGTGGGTGAGGCGAGGGAGATGCCGACTGGAGAAGTACTGGGTTCGTTCCTTCCGCTTGTGTTCGTCCGCAATTCGATGCTGAACGATACCGTACAACAGACTACATCGTCGACACCTTCGCCAACTCGCACTACGTCACCTCTCCCTCGTTCGGCGTGCGAGGAATCGTCAAACGCCTCGTCGCCCCTCTCCCGCCCTCATGCACGCACCTCGGCGTCGACATCGTCTCGCTCTCTGCTATCGACTCGCACGAAGGCGCCTATAAGATCGTGTTCAGCCAGAACGGCATGGAGAAGACGCTCCTCGTCGACCACATCGTCTTCGCGACTCAGGCGGACCAGGCAGCGCGACTCCTTTCGATGCTTCCCGAACACGACGAATCGACGCAAGCCGTTGTCTCTGCTCTCAAGCGCTTCACCTACGTCCGCACGCTTGTCGTGACGCACACCGATGCCTCGGTCCTCCCTCCCGCCCAATCCGACAGACGCGACCTCAATCTCGCTGTCTTCGCCTCATCTTCCATCTCCGCCTCGCCGCCGCCTTTCGAGCCATCTTCAGAAGACGACCTCTTCCTCCCCTCGACCTACGTACAAACAACGCACATAATCTCGCACCCCTCGTCCTCCTCTTCCCGACCTGTGTTCCAGACGACAAACCCAATTGTCCCTATCTCGCCATCACACGTCCTCTCCAGCACTTGGTTCTCCCGCGCATTCGTCACCAAGCGCTCGCAGGCGGTTCTCGGACGCTTCCTCCTCGACGGGTGCAAGGAGCGGCGATCAAAGCGAACGCTGCAGGGCCTGCCGCTGGGCGCACAGGCAGATGCGAGAAAAGGCGGCGTCTGGTTCACGGGCTCGTACCTCGCGCCGGGGATCCCGCTCCTCGAGGGATGCGTAACAAGCGCTGAAGGCGTCGTCCGCGAGTTGCTGCGGCAAGAAGGCGGGACTGTATCAAGCGCATTGTTCTGAAGCCGTGACGACGCATGCATATGTAATGAGTTGCACAAGTCTGCACATGACCTGATCTTGTCCACCATACGCTGCGGGAGATCTACGCGCCGTCTTCTCCCGTCAGACTCGCTTTCCGTACTGTACCCGATCCGCCGTCCCGCTCATCTGCTCGTACCATCCCTCCGCCATCGACTGTCAAGACCGGACCAGCCGATTTTGTCGCGCTAACGCCTGCTGAAGCTGGAGGAACTGCGACCGTGAGCGCCGGCGGCTTGACTGGTCCGCTTGGCGCTGTCGATGGTCGTGTCGAGGCATCGCCTTGACCGGCGGACGTGGCCGACGATCCCGCGGCGCTTGACGGAACGGTTGGCGTGGTTGGCGTGCCCATCCCTCCGCCTGCGCCTGCGCTCGCCCCATCCGGCTTATTCGCCCTGCCGCAGAACCAGCTCGGCAGCCATCCTCGCCCGCCGTCCTCCTTGATCGCATAGCTCCAGTGGTTGTACCGCTTGAGGATCCGCAAAGGCTGGCCCTTCTTGACTTCCAGTTCGCCAGGTCCGCGAGGCGTGTAGTCCATCAAGGCGACACCGGGAGTCGAGACGGAGACGACGAACGAGGGCGGAATTGGGACTGACGCTGCGTTCCCTTCGTGCGCTGGAACGCCCTGCGACGACTTGGACGCGGAGGGACTGGTTGCGGAATCGGCTGTCGGACCGTTGGCGAGGAGGGAGAGCGGCGGGACCGACGTCTCGAGCAGACACCCCGCCGGAACCCAGGCCGACTTGCGCGGGATGGGCGAATGATCGGGGTTCGACGATGTTGACGAGGAGAGGGATGTCGACGGGTGGTCGCGATGGACGACCCACCAACCCTTTGTCTTCGAGAGGATGACGAAAGCTGCGGAGAGAGGATCAGCCAAGGTGCACAGGAAAGGGAGCGAACGCGACTCACTGTCGCCAACGGCCACATCAAACTCGTCCCTGCGCGACAAACGAGGTGAGCGGGAGTTCGGAAGATGTTGAGGTGACCGGCACGCACTCGCGCTCCGCCAGATAGGGGTAGATGGCAATGCAGTAGCCTTGGTTGCGGCGCTCCTTCTCGTCCTTCCGGTCCGCGCCCGAACCCTCGCCCGCGTCCTCCGCAGCCTTGTCCTTACCGACCGGCAGCAGGACAGGCGGGTGGTGCAGACGCGTCGGCCGAGCATTCGGGCCAAGACCGTTCGCCGGAGTGAGAGTCGACGCAGAGGGGGCAGCGCTGCCGTCCCGATTGACGCCCATCAGGCTTCGCTCGACTCCGCCGCCGATACCTGGTGGGCGCTTGTCCCGCCTCGCCGCGTGCTTCGCCGACGCGACTGCGATAGGACTCTTGATGTCTTTGATGTGTCGAAGCATGAAGACGGGATTGTCATTCGACTCTTTGAGCTTCTGAAAGAGGATGAGGGGCTTCTCGTCGTAGGCGAGGCAGCGCTCCGTGTTGCCGTAACAGATGAACAGCGCGTAGAGGCGCCAGTCATCGTTGATCTTATACTTCTTGAGCGCTGCGGGAAGGACCTTGTAGCAGGGGTCTTCCAGCGTAACGCGGAACGACCGGTAGGGGTTGTCCGGCGTGTTCCCGCTTCCGCCCGCGCCGCTCGATCCGTCCTTCGATCGCGAGGTGGACGGAGACCTGGCGAGAGTGGCCTGCGAAGCCGAGTCAGGCGTGCTGACAGTCGAGCGAGCTGAAGACGGCGGAACGAGGGTGGTTGAAGAGGAGGTCGCGGAGAGCGAGACTGGAGCGCCATTTGCGGCGGCTGCCGAGTCGGGCGGGACGAGCATCTGGACGGTCGGTGTCGTTGGTGTAGGGACACCGTTGATGCTGACTTCGGTCGGGTGTCCGTGTCCCGCACCATCTTGCGGGTGCAGAGCCTGCTGCTGGTGCTGGTATTCGCTCGCATGACGAGGCGAGTCGACGACGGGACTGTGAGGGGAGTCAGGAAGGCCTGATGCGCCGGGAATGGCAAGGTTCGAGTTGACTGCGACGGGAGGAGGGTGCCGCGGGCGGGAGGGCGATGAAGTCGAGCGCGACAGGGTGGATGCGTTCGAAAGCGGATGCGGGAAGGTTGAAGTAGTAGGAGAGCGGATGTTCTGCCGTGTCTATTCCATCGCGCAGTGTCAGCGGGCGCGACGGAGGTTCTCCAGAACTCGACGAGCGCACCTTGCCAGTCTGAGGAGCACTCCGTGCAATGCTCAACGCCTCGTCCCGCAAATTGAGCAGCGCATTGTGCAGGTTGTGCACTTCGTGTTCAAGGTTGCGGATACGATCATCTGCCAGCAGAGACAGGCCTTGTCAGTTTCGCGCTCGGGCGGCGGCGGCGTTCGACGACTGACCCCGCTCGGAGAGCATGCCCAGTACGTGATGCGTATGTAGAGGACCATCCGCGTCCATCTCTTCGGCTGCAGGAGACCAGCGGACTCGCGGTCAGTCCTCGTCGCGAAGTCGGAGGATCCGCAACTCACAAGGCGGGACATAATGCCCTTCTTCAATGGGGATGTTCTGCGCGACCTTGAGCTCGTAGACTGTCTTCAGGATCGCCAGACGCTGGCCAACCGAGTGGACGCCGACATCCTTGAGTGCCGAGTGATCGAGGTGGACAAGGACGTCGCCGGTGATGCCGTGTTCTGCGGGCATCTAGGTCAGTTTTGAGCGGCGTGAAAT